GAGCGGATGTGGATCGCCCCGGCTGGCTGCTGCTCTTGCTTCTCTGCCCGAGGTTTGGCGCCGGCTCCTGCTCGAATCTGGGAATACCTTGCTGCGTATTCCCCTGGCTCTTTACCCTTAATAGAGCTTTCTTGCCAGCCGAAGTCCTTAAAATGCAAGATGAGCGCCTCGCAGCTGCCCTTTCACCGTGATACGCAAAATCCGCAGCCTGCTGTAGGTGTATTAACGGCTATGGTAGAACATACGTGGTGGCTTTGCTTTTCTCTGCCTCTCAATTTGCAAGTCATCCTCAGATGGAGACACGCGCTCTCTCTGCCCCCTTTGTAGGATCACTGTATGGAAGAGTGAAATTAAATGTGTGCGCAGACAGGCTCCAACTCCGATCTCCAGGACAAGCCTTCAGGTTTTTATTTTTATCTCCTTCTTTTGTAGGAAATAGACAGACGGTTGGAAAAGAAGCTCAAGATCACGCAGAAGGAAAGGTAACGATGCTGTGCGGTTCGGTTAAAAAAAACCCTCTTTTCCTTGAGGTGCTGTTGGACATCCAAAGGCCTGGGGAGCGGGAACAGTGGGGAAGCAGCTTCAAACTGAGCAGAGCGCATTGGGTTTGAGTTTAGAAATAGGGAATCTCTGTAATCATGCCACTAGATGGCCCTTTCGATCTGGAGCAGGGTAGTGGAAAGCTTCTTCAGAGTGATTTTATTTCAGAGCCGGGTCTTCCAGACTGGATGTAGCTACAGCTATGGGGAAGCCATTTAAGAAAAAGACACTCAAAGGAAGAAATGTGTGAGTCAGGTAATCCCAACTCATGGCCCTAAATTGGCTTGCTATGCCTTGTGTCAGTAAGACTTTTCTTTTCCTGCTTACTTTGGGTTGGGGTGTGTGTGTTATTGTCTTCTAGCAGAAATATTTCTAATCACTTCTGACAAGTCTTTTGTTGAGTTTTGGTTTCCCCCCACCTTTGATTCTTAGTAGGCCACTTAAAGAGTCATGGTGTTACTTCTCCGGGACTCCCGCACAGAGAAGGGGCCATAAAAAAAACCCAAATTTTCAAATGGTGAGATGGGGGCCGAGTCTGGCTCTGAGAAGTGAAATGGCAGGGTTGAAGCAGAAGGGCCGGGTGTGCTGGCAAAGAGGGGCCCTAAAAGTCCTTGCAGGGAATGGAATCGAGGTGCTTAAACCGATATCGTCAAATAGAAGTGCTAAAAGTTTTGCCCGGTGTCTGCTTCCCTCTCCTTTGGTCGAGTTTAAAGATGTCGAACACAGCAGGGACTGGTTTTCTGTCCCTTCCTGTGCTAATCTCCTACAAGCCTGTCTGCTGCTCTAGTTGAGGGTTACAAATATAACGAGGTCTTTAATTATTACAGGCTGCCTCTTAATTGCGGGAATGACATCTGACTGGGAGGAATTCACATGCAGAGCGAAAAACACGCTTGCCGTAGAAAACAAGTCCCAACCAAATGTTTTTCTTTTAAACAGTAGAAAGTCAAAATCTCCTCCTAAAGTGCCGATCGTGATTCAGGACGACAGCCTTCCTGCAGGTCCTCCCCCACAGATCCGCATCTTGAAGAGGCCGACGACCAACGGTGTGCTTAGCAATCCCAACTCCGCCAGCAGACCGGCCTTCCCTGTCAAATCCTTGGCGCAAAGGGAGGCGGAATACGCGGAAGCCAGGAAACGAATATTGGGCAGCGCCAGCCCTGAAGAAGAGCAGGAGAAACCCATCCTAGACAGGTGAGAGCAGCCTCACAAATGTCTTTCTGTTGGAAGGAAGGGGACAAGCTCCTTGAAGAGTAAAGTCAGGCTGGCGAGGAGAAAGGAGCGCTGTGTTAGCAAGCAGGGCATCATAAGTCTCAAATATATGGGAGTTAAGGGAAGTGCAAGTGCCTGATAAGGCCATAAAGGTTATCTTAGACCCTTGGAAGAGCATGTGGGGGGTAGGGAGTTGTGCAGACAACCGAAGTTAATCCCAGTGGAACGTATTTGTTGTCTTCCCTGAGGTTTTTTGCTTAAGGGAGCTGCCGCTGCAGGCAGGAGTGTTGAGCGTAAGCACTCCTAAATGAACGCAGGTTATTTGAAGGCACTGTGCTCCTTTTCTTTTTTTTTTTTTTTTTTTTTTTTTTTTTTTTTTTTTTGTATTTGCAGTGTGGGTCTCGGGGTCTCGGCTGCTCTTTGGAGAGAAATGAAGTGCTGATTTGATTTTGTATTAGGATTAGTGTGGCCAGCAGGAGTAGGGAAGTGATCATGCCCCTGTACTCGGCACTGGTGAGGCCCCACCTGGAATACTGTGTTCAGTTTTGGGCCCCTCACTACAAGAAAGACGTTGCGCTGCTAGAGCGTGTCTAGAGGAGAGCAACAAAGCTGGTGAGGGGTCTGGAGCACAAGTCTTATGAGGAGCAGCTGAGGGACCTGGGGGTGTTCAGCCTGGAGAAGAGGAGGCTGAGGGGAGCCCTTATCGCTCCCTACAATTGCCTGACAGGAGGGAGAATCCAGGGGGGTTGGGCTCTGCTCCCAGGGAACGGGCAATGGGACGAGGGGAAATGGCCTCAAGTTGTGCCAGGGCAGGTTTAGGTTGGACACTGGGAAAAGGTCCTTTACCAAAAGGGCTGTTAAGCACTGGAAGGGGCTGCCCAGGGAAGGGGTCGAGTCCCCATCCCTGGGGGGATTTAAAAGCCGGGCAGACGAGGTGCTTAGGGCCAGGGTTTAGTGGTGGGATGGCAGGGTTAGGGGAACGGTTGGGCTTGGTGAGTTTAAAGGGCTTTTCCAACCTAAACTATTCTATGATTCTGTGATTTTGATTTCGGTCATGTTCCCCATCCCAGCAGCGACGATTGTCCCGCAGCGGTGACTTCCCACCCAGGCGGGAAGACGTTGAAGGCATCCAGCGTGATGCAACTGTGTTGCCTTCGCCTCTCATCTCCTTTCTCCTTGCAGGCCGCCGAGGATCTCCCAGCCGGAAGACACCAGACAGCCCAATAATGTGATCAGGCAACCCCTGGGTCCTGATGGCTCACAAGGCTTCAAACAACGCAGATAAACGCGGGCGAGCAATGCTACTGCGGAAGGCAGGGTCCGCCGCCACGGGTTGCACTGCCGTGGCGGACAAACGGACTTGAGCAAAGGGAACTCCCTGGTTTATTTGCACTGTGATCCCCTTTGCTCTGCCCACTGTGACCTTCAACCCCACGCACTGTGACCTCCCCTCTCCACCCACTGTGACCGGCAAACTGAGAAGGGCTGTCCCCAAAGTCACTGAAAAAGGAAAGGGGACAAGGGGAGGGGGGTTGTAAAGGACTCGGACGGGTGCAGGGAGTTGTGCGTGTGCCGTTTGGGTTGGAGCTAGCGCCAGCAATAATGTTCGTTGTACTCATAACCTGGGATTTAAGGGAAAAAACAAAACAAAGAAACAACAAAAAAAAAAAATGGGAAGCCTCCCCAGACACGCATGTTGTCCTCATCCCATTAAGAGCAAGTTCTGTTTCAAAGGATCTCTCTTTTTTTTTTTTTTCCTGTTTGTTTGCTGTATATCAAATCGGCGGAGTGCATGGGAAAGGTTTTAACTGTTTTAATTGAGAGAGGTAGTTTTTAACGCGTTCAATGAGGAGTTTGGGTGAATTTCTGCCGCTTTTGTGGCTCAGATTTGGCACGGTTCTTGCTTCTTGGTCTCTGTTTCTACTGCTGCCAAGCATGTGGAAGCGGACTCCCGGATACCTGGGCCTTTCTGATCGCCTTGGGAGCCGCCGGAGTCCGACAACCTAGTTTACGTCTTGCACCCGTTAAAGCTTGGCTCGTATTTTCTGCTGGCTTTTCCTCAAGCTTAAAATACATCTTTTTTTAATTTTTATTTTAGGTTTTTTTTTTTCTTTTTGTATTTGGGGAGAAGGGAATGGAGATGGATCCCCTGCAACCGCCTGCTGCCCGGCCACCGTTTGTGGCAGAGTGCGCCAGGCAGCGAAGAATTAGAGCTCTGTTGCGAGGAGGAGAATAACCTGCACTGCTCCGGTCTGTGAAATAAATGTGTGGGGAGGAGCCCCGCTCTGTCCGGCTGGCGTAACGATGGGGAGCGGCGTGTCCTGAGGGTCCGACCCCGAGCGGCTTAATGATGGAGCAAGGGCTCCGCTAGATCTCTCGGTCGCGGTACGAGCTGCATTCGTCTCTGGAAATCATAGACGTTGGGGAACAAAAACCGCCTGGGATAAAGTCTGGATGATTCCCTCCTCGTCCTGGCAGCAGTTGGCTCCCTATGAGGCTTCAGGGAAGGGATTTTCCTCCTCCGGCTCCCAGGAAGAAGCTAGCAGTCTGCAAGAACATGGATTTTTTTCCCCCTCTCGGATGAAACTTAATATCACTTGATACGGAGGGATTAGATGAACACTAAACGCCCTTCTTGGAGGGGATGGGACCTAGAAAAGCATTTCTGGTTAGCGGCGGATTATTCTGTACGGCTGTGGTTTTCCCTACCGCTTTGTGCTCAGTAGGTTCCAGGGTAAATGAGCAAATCTTGACGGCTTCTACCCGAAGGGAAGCGACCGTACAAAGAAACAAACAAAAAGTGTGTGGAAATACGGCTTAAAAAAAAAAAAAAAAAGAAAAACGGTAAAATAAAACTACCTGTGTATAAAAAGAATCCGCTAGAGCGTTAATTAGCTGATTAAAGCACTGAGGATGGTGGCGAGGTGGGGATGGGCGGGCAGACCCCCAGTGCTTTTTATTTTTTTGGGAGGGGGTGTCTTGATTTCCCCCCCAAGCTGGTGGTGAGGGTGAGGCCCAGGGGGGAACGGGAGGGGAGGAGGACGTCAGCAATAACCATAGTCACTGCGCCTTTCCTTAATTATTACTAAAAATAGCTTTTAATGGCCAACCCCCTTCCCCCTCCCCAAATCCACCCAGTTCCTGGTGTAGCTGGCCACTGTTAGTTGCCGCCATCTCCGGCACCAAAATCTGCAGCTCCTCCATCCCGGTGACCAGGATACGTCCCGCCCGCGGGCAGGGCTCGGCGGCGTTCCTGCGGGAAGCCCCTTCATCCCGGGAAGGTAGAGGATAAACACGGTACCGCGTGTTTTCACCCCAAAACGTGCGCCGAAGAGAAAATGTTTTATAAATTGTATTTTAAATAAATGTCTTTAAACTTTTAATGACTTTTTTTTTTTGTTTTGTTTTTCCCCCTCCCGTCTCTCGCAGGGGCTGCTCTAAGAGGGACGTTTTGGTGGCAGCTTAAGCTCGCAATGTGAGTTGAAGCTTAAAAATTCATCGGGAAGGTAAAATCTTGGAGTGTTCGGCCGTAATTGTGCCGGTATTTACCCAAAAAGGGGAAATTTCCCCCTATTTTTAGGGTTGCTGGGGAGATGTGGTCTGAGGAGGGTGGGAAGCAGCAGCCCGAGAAGATGGGGTTTCCAAACCCGGGTGTGAGCTGTGACTGTGCTGCCTCTCGCCCAGGGTGATAAAAGTAGCGATTTTTATTTTATGTATTTTTTTTGCTCCTCGCTTGGGTGTTGTGCTCAATAACTGCCAGAAGAGGTGGGCAGAGGCTGTTGGGGTGCCTCCAGCCGAGGCGAGGAAGGGGTCAGGGTGTGCCAGAAGCTTCTTATTTTTAAATATTTTTTAATGTGAAATCAGGAAAAAACCGCCACCTTGGGTGACTCGGAGTTGCTAAGGGGGGAGGGAAGGTGCTGGAGCCCGGCTGGCAGCGTGCCCTGATGTGCCGGGGCTGGGAGCGGGCCGCAGCGGGCTCTGTCCGCGGCCGCGTACTGGTTCCCAGTTCCAGTCGCCCACTGGGACCAGTTCCCCACCACCATCACCTGCAGCGGAGCCTCCCGCCCGCCAGGGGGCGCGGCGGGGGCGGCGCGCGCCCCC